AGTGAGAAACTGGCAAAACAGGCCACGTAACTGGTACTCTAATTTGTATCAGACTTGAATAAGAAGCCTATGCTAGGTTTTTACGCAAATGGATTTATTTTAAAGTATTCAAGTCCCCAGGAAAGTACTTGTCCAAAATGAGAAGAAGTAAGTAAGAAACTGGCAAAACACGTCGCGTAACTGGTACTCTAATTTTGTATCAGACGTGAATAAGAAGTCTATTCCAGGTTTTCACGCAATGGATTTATTTTAAAGTAGTCAAGTCTCCAGAAAAGTGCTTCGCCTCAAAATGAGAAGAAGTAAGTAAAAAACTGGCAAAACAGGCCACGCAACCGGTACTCTAATTAAATATTGTATCAGACGTGAATAAGAAGCCTTTGCCAGGTTCTTACACACGTAACTGGTACTCTAATTTTGTATCAAACGTGAATAAGAAACCTACGTCAGGTTCTTACGCAAATGGATTTATCTAAAGTAAGTTTAGTCCCCAGAGAAGTACTGGGCCTCGCCATGAAAAGGAAGAAGCAAGTAAGAAACTTGCAAAACAGGCCACGTAATTGAATTTTATCTAAATCAGTGGAATCTAATGAAAACAAGAAAAAGTAAGAAACTGGCAAAACAGGCCACGTAACTGGTACTCTAATTTTGCCTATGCCAGGTTCTTACGCAAAAAGATTTATTTAAAAGTAGTTAAGTCCCCCAAAAAGTACTGGGGCTTAACATGAAAAGAAGAAGTAAGTCAGAGACTGGCAAAACAGGCCACGTAACTGGTAGTCTAATTTTGTACCAGACGTGAATAAGAAGCCTATGCTAGGTTCTTACGGAAATGGATTTATTTAAAAAAAGTAAAGTTCCCAGAAAAGAACTTGGCCTCAAAATGAGAAGAAGTAAGAAACTGGCAAATCAGGCCACGTAACTGGTACTCTAATTTTGTATCAGACGTGAATAAGAAGCCTATGTCAGGTTCTTACGGAAATGGATTTATTTAAAAAAAGTAAAGTTCCCAGAAAAGAACTTGGCCTCAAAATGAGAAGAAGTAAGAAACTGGCAAATCAGGCCACGTAACTGGTACTCTAATTTTGTTTCAGACGTGAATAAGAAGCCCATGCGAGTTTCTTATACAAATGGATTTATCTAATTAAGTCCTGAAAAAATACCGGGCCTCACCAAGAAAAGAAGAAGTTAGTCAGAAACTGGCAAAACAGGCCACGTAACTGGCCACTCTCATTGTGTATCAGGCGTGAATAAGAAGCCTATGCCGGTTTTTCTCTTACTTTATGATGGTGAACGTGATCAAATTGATTAAAATTTTATAAGGGTCAATGTCATCAAAAAAGGTCAAACGTTCAAAAGCAAATATTGTTGAGACCCTGTAAACTTTTTATATAGCAAACACAGAAGACATATGTCGGTTTTGTATCTCAGTGTCTTCTTTAGTTCATTGAATGCATCACGCTTGCCTTTCTGAAAAGGTGAGAAACACATTCATTCAGTTTTTTTGTTATATTGGTCACGTATAGTATGTTTTTGGGAAATTGCATTTACGATTTTTTAGAATTATTTCGAAGAAAATATATATGAAAATATATTTCATATAGATAGGATAGGCATTACAAAAGAAAAATGATTGAAATAACATTAGTTTTACTTGATCTTAATCAATGTAAATATTATGTAAGTAACCATGACAAATAATATTTGAGATTACTCGGAATATTTGCTAATTAAAAGATGTTCGTTGCAATTTAATATCTTATTCCAAGACCTTAGTAGTCTGGCCTTGCCCAGTAGGTCAGTTTTATGTTCTTGCTTTTTTGCTGGGAAAGACATAAATTATATTAGCATGATAGTTAAATCTTAAATTTTTACCCACCAACCACCCACCCAATTATCATTATTGTTTATAACCCTCGATTATAACGTTACTTAGCAATCTTATATCTAAATCATCATGGTACTCAATGGGTCATTAGTCATGCCATAATCTGTTGCCTTTGGGGAGGGGGATCAAGTTCCATTGAAAACAACGCATTCGACTCTTAAGATAGCTATGCTCATCTAAGAATATAAAGTGAAATACTAAGGGTAGAGGACTTTGATAAAATTGCCAAAAATTATAACTTTTAACACGTTGTCCAAAAGGGGGCAACGATTGTTAAACTTTCGGTAGGGAGTGTAACATTGAATAGGTTTTTAGCAATGCATTGACATTGACCTCATTACGAAATATAAAGTTTCTGTGATTTAAAAGAGGTCGCCTTTCATTCTTGGAAAATAATATATGAGTTGCACTTTGATGTTTTGGTATATGTTGAAATGCCAACTCTTTTTTTTATTCATATTTTCAAGGGTATGGGTCAAATGATGAAACTGGCGCAATAAAGCATGAGTAGCAGATGCATTTTCTAAAGCATATTAACGATTTTAAAGATATCATAACATAGTATATTCATTATCGTATCATAGGCCAAATGATCGACTTCATTTCATGATAATGCGCAAAATCATAATTTTGGTGCATTAGATGTTTTCTTTTCCATTTTATTTGTTATAACTAAACACAATATAACATTAAATCAGCGTTTCTCAGACAACAACCTCCTTTATTATAAAGATACATATCGGATGAGAATCGCAGTATATAACAACTATAAATATCTCTATACTATCAACAAAAATCTACATATAATAGCCAGTTACAGGTTACACCGTATTAGATTACAAAGTAATATATACATACTTGATATACATCTAATAATAGTCTAATTTCTATAAAGAAATATTCAATTTGTGCGCATTTCTCTAATAAGTATAGTATTCCTCTGAATATGTCTATAGCTGAGGCAAGGAATCTGACAACTGAGGAAATTTAAACTGAATTGGAAAGTTTGTCTTGTAGCACGTATTTTCATACCAGTATATCAAAAAGAATTATTTTATGCATGCTAATCAGTAATAATCCACTTAAAAGAAGGGACCTTCATACAGCCCCAAGAGTGAAGAGACGTGATTTTATTTTATTTGTTATAGAATTCCCCCGGAATTCCCGAGCCTCAGCTTTACGAAGTGGAGGGCATTAATTGTATTTCACTTAAATAAGTCGTACATAATCAATGCTATATAAGGTTTCCATTGATTGGAGGACCATTGGAGGTCGTTGTAAATTTGACCCTGTCCAAACCAATCTCATAATAATATCGAAGTATTAGTCTTGCACCAAGCCCTTGTGATACAAACATATACCATGTCTTGTTAGCACTGACATCGTTGAACTGGTTATGGGCAAGGGAATAGATAATAAGGGGACAGTGACACTTGATAAGGTTTGCTTCAGGAAATAACTAATGAGAAGGGAAGAGACCAGAGGCTTGATACAAGACTGCTTAATAAATGACATGTTTCTCTATGTACCCAGCATAGTGTGTGATTCATTACATGGTATAAGCAATTACAGCTCAGAGGAATTTCTATAGCTTAAAATGTCGCAAAACAAATTCTGCAAAAATGAACACCGCACTCTATTAAACTTTTTCGATTAAATCAGAAATATTTTACTTTCTAAATCAAGATGAAACTAACATAAAAATATATAATACAAAAATCTCTTCAAGATCTATCTTAGGCAATTCAAAAGCTATACTAATACGCCCCCTTGAAGACGTATTTAATCACGCCTTCTATAAAATGTGAACAATGTCAATATTTCACCCGGGTTATATTCGGGAACAATTTCCCTTGTAATACTATACTAATCTAGTAATGTGTGACGTTATAACGGCGGGTCGTAATGGACCATAATGGATATTCGATACATTTTGGTGAGTTTTCATGTTCGAATCGTAATATAAACCTCTGAGCAGGAGGTGTTAAATCGACGGGTACAGACCTTAGGGCTAGGCACAAAAGGCTTCGACCCTCACTCCCTTCAGTCTTTCGAGGTACAATAAACGTTTGTGCCTAGCCCTGCGGCCTGTATTCGTCGATAGAACACCTGCTATTCGGTCTAAATTTCTTAATTAAGAGCATTGTGTGTTTACTCGACGATTTTTCAACATAGGTTCAACTTTAATTCAAGTCAGTAACACCATCTATATTTAAGAATAGTGTGCATGTTTTTCATTCTTTCGGATTATGGTAACATGATTTCTGTTAGACAATATGGCAAGAACTGATTGAGCAAATGGCCAGCTGCTTGAATCTGAGATTCGTCTTTCTATTAATTAAACCGGTAAGTGTCCTTGATGGAACACTAACAGCTGCTCACAAATTAAACCTTTGTTTTATTAAACATCTCGCTCGGGTACATCATCGACAAAGGAACCAAAATATGGTTACTCTGTTTTTAAGCCATGTACACTTCCCTCCATAAGTTTTGCAATCGGAACTCCCTTTTTGGACCACTTACTCAAACCCGTTTATCTAGTCGATTACTAGAAGGTCAAAGAATTTGTCGTAAATTTCTGAAGTAGGCTAATGCAATTATTAGCAAAATTAAGTTTCAAACATTGACGTACTTTGTCATGCTATACAATGAAAACGTCCGGACCGAACTTCCGGTAGTCAGACTTATGGAGGGAAAATATATCAGTATTTGCGCTAACTGTCTCTGTAAAAAGTGTAAACTGGTTTCATAGCTAGAGGTAAATTAAAGTGCAAATTTTACACGCGGGTTTTAATATTGAATGCAAACGTATACGTGTCTACAATTCGAGTTGGGCAAAGGTCCCAACTCTACCCACGATGTCGTCAAAAGATGGCAGTAGTGGTCAAATAGAAGATTTAAATAGACGGACGACTACTACCATCTTTCTTTCTACCTTGACCTTGTGACTAATATTACCTGTTGATTTTGAATTCCCTCCAATCGCATCATGACAATGTCAACGTTGGTTCACTACCAATTTCAAAATTCATACAAGACAGATAATAGGATGTAATGTATGAGAGGTTTATAGATCGCTCTAGCTCTATCTTCTACTAAGCACATTAAATTCATTATATTACATAATCTCTCTCTGGAGGTCTCCCCTACCATTCACCCTGGCATAAGCTAGTTTTCAAATGCCCATGCTGCCAGACTTATTCCTGTGGCTAATGAACCAAAATGCTTAGATATTTTCGGTAGGAATAAAATATTTAGGTTAATTTTGAAGAATATAAGTTGTAAGTCATGAAATTCAAGAAGAAATCTTAAATCAAGAATTTTTGTGTCCGCCAAAAGTTTACGATAAATAAGCAATATATCAATACACCATGATAGTGCAGATGATCTGGCATCCAAAGAGGTGAATGGAGAGTATTATTTCGATGCATTTGGGGACTTCTCTCCTACTGCACCTGGTCTAGTTAGGCCGATAAAACGCATTGTTTCTTATTAAACCGCAGGATCCTTTTCTGTTGCTCCTTTCAAGTGTAGTAACTGATCTTTCTCTGGTTCACCTGCACCTCCATTTTCTGCGCCAACATCTTTCCCCTTGGCTGCTACATCATTTAGTTCTTGGCCTTCTTCGTCTTTGCTATGCTCGCCGTGATCGTGTTTTGCCCAATCTTGGAGTTCACCTGCAATTTAAACGTTATTTAAAATATATTTTGAATAGTATCATGATACTGTCAGGGGAATATGGGGACTTGGCTCTCGGTCTCTGGGGACTCGGTCCGGAGTGAGGTTTACAGACAAGCCTAAGAGATTCATCTTTGATTACCATCTCATCAGTTTGTGTATTAACATTGATCTAACAAATAAAGTAAACCATTCGCAACAAATCCCACTTTCTATTAAAGAAGTCCGATTTAGAGAATTTAGTCCACCGCATTTTACGCTTGCTATTTACAGCGCTAGTGATAAAATTTGCCACTTACCAGATCCAAATGCCAAATAGGCTATGGTTCCGACGAGAAGGATTGCTCCTTTGATATAGAACACAACCTGCCATTGTTCTTGAGTATTCTGAAATGAAAAATGTGCAAATATTATACGTATAAATACACCCTCTGATAATATCCCCTAGCATTTTCACCACAGCATCATTTCTCTTTTGAAAGGCAAGAAAGGAGGGATTTCTTGTAAGATAAGGGGATTGCAATTTTGATTGGGTAGTTGGCATGGGTTATGATCGACATATTCTGATTGGATAGGGAAAGGATTATCTCTTAATCCGATTATTTAAGAAGCTATCAAACTAAATAGATGTTCTTAGTTTGGCCTATAATGCCACTAGCCGATTGGGGAGCCATTCGATGTAAATTTAAATATCATGAAATAAATAGTTTAACAAATAAAAAAGTGTTTTTATTTCTGGAATTGTGCCAAGAAATACGTTCACAGAAGTTGCCATGGCTTTATGGGTGATAAAGTTACGAATGATGTATTGAAACAGGAAGACAAACTAATTGGACTTATATAATATTTCTTGGTATGAAATGTTGACGTGTAAAAACAGGATAGTCAGATATTTAATCATGGTTATTGTGTTTCTTGTCGCGTATGCCCATCATGGTGTGTCTACCGCCAGAGGGACTCGTGAATCATTAAGTCGGTAACGTCGTTTTCGTTCTGTCACAATGATACACTAAATCAAAACTTGATTCCACATTTCGACGATCAGAACAATGGATAAAGACAAAATGTCATCACCTGGCTACAACTACAAAAATGTGACAATTTGTTACAAAACGCCGACACCGAACACACACTGCCTTCGGTGGCTACAGCATTATGATACCATTTCTTTGTGATACCATAATAACTTGCTGTTATTCGGATACATAATTTAGGGTTTAGGTACATGTAGTTGGTAAAGCTGTGATCATCTTAAATGTGAAATACCCTTGTAAGATGTTCTGTTCAAACTTTAAAATGTCTCTCTGTGTCCACAGTCAAAGTATAAAATGTCATTCTTTTCAATTGCTTCATTTCGCTTCTTTGAAATAGAGCTCGTCACTTCACATACAGTTATTACAATATACAACCAGCCTCTTACCACCCACAGTCGATACAAGTCCGTGCTCAAATGTCATAAAACAATGGCTATCTCTTTACACATGATATAAACGTAAGTAAACTGACACTAGTTTTTAATTAATAGCGGGAATGAAAGCATATGTTTATGTTGATAATATATGCTAATTTTATATTATAAAGAATAAAAGCTAAGTTACAGATAGATAACAATCATGTTTCCCCATATGTGTCCTGGATACGTTGTTGGCATTGTTATTATTCATCAACGTTTACGCGTTACACAGCTTAGAAAAGTAATCCAAGGATTACAATGGAGGTACAGTATACGATGCATTGAATAATAAACTCAAATGGAACATTAAGAAGAAACGTTTATCAACAAGTCATACGTATGTTACTTACATCGGGGGTGAGAATTCCTATAAGGTACGGGCACACAAAGCCTGGTATGCAACCGACGCCATTACCAATACCGAACAACAGAGGGGCATATTTAGGCGCAAAATCAATATAATTCACTACGAATCCGGCGCCATATTGGCAACCCATAGTGCTGACACCTAGCGTCAACATAACAATCGCTAAAATAGGGTGATGGCAGTCGATGTGTCCTAAGATTACGATACAAATGGCAGGTACCAATTCACCTGAAAAACAAGCATCTCTTTGTCTACATAATTCCAAAAGAGGATGGTCAATTGAGCATTTGCCCAATAACAATTTCTTAATTGGTTTATAAATCAGATTAAATAGACGTTCTAGACAGTTCTAAACGTTTTCATCGAATCATTATATTATATTCTGTGTTCAATGTCCATCAATTATTTTAGTTTATTGAGACCCTGCGCTGCCTTACCGATAGTATTGAACAATTTCCTAGCACCAGTTGTTGTCAATATCTTCTTGGCTCTCAGTAGATCGCTTAGCTGGCCAGACGTGACAACAAACGCCCAAAACAGTAAATATGGGATGGCAGAGAGAAGACCATTCTGAAAGTAATGTCAAGATAACGCATATTGTTAAGAATTCTTTTTGGTCTAAGCTAACAACGTGAATGATCTGATACCTCTTACTAATACTGTGTTCCAAAATTGACACATTTTCTCTTCTAAGTTGTAAAAGATATATTAAGAATCTTAATGTATTTCACATTTGAAACTGCTCCTCCAAAGCAGATAAATAAAAAAATCAGACAAAAATGTTGTCCCTTTGTAATTGATATCTATTCTTATAATGCCTTTGATTTGCGGAAAAGGAAACAGTATTGTAATTCATATCAGAACCACGAAACACGTTTCATATTTCTTTCTTATTGACTTGGCAAAACAACACAATATCAGGAGTTATAGAAACTAGATGAGTCGAGTTCAATGAGAGAGAAAGCATTATTACAAACATTATTCTAGAATAAATAGCTGGTTTCAGGTGAAATATAAGTGTATATGATCATAACTCTTGGCTCAAGACACTAAAAGCAATTGCAATATCAATAAATACACGTACTGTTACATGTAGACTTATCCATGATGGAACATAACATAATGAAACATTTGATCGAGGCTATATTACCGATTTCACATCTAGTTTCAGAACATCTTTCATATAGGTGGGCATATTGGTAAGAAAGGCAAATGCTCCCCAGTTTCCAGCAAATTGCGCAATGAATGCTCCCCAGCATGGCTTTGACGTAGCGATAGCCTTCCATGGTGTAGGGGTGTGCTGTAAAATAAAAAATCTACATTCTGAATTGTCACGTTTTTGGTCTTAGAACTAGTATGCAAAATTGCATCGCCGAAATTAGAATGAAGTAATATAAACATTTTGTGTCAAGATGAATTAATCTATTCTAAAGTTGAATATTTCGAAATAACAAATATTGAAACATGAACTAATAGACGGGTACCCTTCTGGTTAATTAAATCTTAAAATGCCACAACTACATGTATATGGCTAAATGACATGCAAATAATTCTATTCTAAATCATATTTTTACAACAATCAATATCAATTCCAATGTAGTTAAAAAACAGAGACCATTGTACCTCGTGATGTTTTCCAAATGTTACTTGATCACATAGTGAGTTCATGATGTAACGTTTCTCTAACTTATTGATGCGGGGATGCTGATCGGGGGCATCAAATACAAAGATATTCCAGAATATGAACCAGACAAATGTAAGTATACCTGTAAAGTAAGTAAACATATACACAAACTGAGGAAAAGTGGTGCAATATGAGGACATATAATGAATGAATTCATACATGGATAGGGCTTGAATTACACCAACACTGGTGAACACAATACAAGAAAACATCAATTTCTTATACTGTTTTTAAATCGTTTGTCAAATTAAAACATACTCTATTTATTACCACTTTTATGAATACGTTGTATATGACAAAGAAGGTGGCTGACAGAAATACATTTTTGACTTTGAGCAAGAACTTTATGTACTGTACAAAGGCTACTTACTAAAGAAGTAGAAGACCGATGGCCAACCTCCATCAAAACCGTATTCGCACAGGACTCCAGACAATGGGAACGCTACTACATTTCCAAGGAACGCGCCTGAAACAAAAAAAAAGTTTTACTTTATTAATTATATGCAAGAGATTACAGCCTTCTATTCTTTTTGAGAAGTTGTAAAAAGCTATATTTTCTGGAAGGAGTCTAGGTTTATGCGATACATCGTTTAGGTTGAAAACAGATCTAGAAAGAAGTGATGAGTACGAATTAGAATCACTGCAAACATACCTAAGAAAGCAATTAAGACTGAAGCAAAGATCCCACCATGATCAACACCATGCTCTTCATGACATTGTGTCATCGACATTAAATTCAAACATAACAAGTGGGACTCAGCTAATATGTGGTTTGACCTTTGTTTTTGCTTAAAACATATTTTATTTTAGCCTAAAGAACGAAATTAATTTACAACATCCATTTTTAAAGATGATTCTTGTTGATTTCTGGTGGTTCCTCGGCATAAAAACATAATGCATGAATCAAATATATGTTTATGTTTATTTTCCATTTGACTTCTAAGTTAAAATGATCCTCAAGTTATGTTTTTTTGTTTCAATTTGTTTCTAACAATGGTGGGAAACTTGTCAAGTTTGTCAACATATCAAATATCTTGAAAAAGTGCCATTATATAGAGACAACAATTATTACTGGAACATTAAAGCATCAAAGTCAAATAATCTTAATGAGAACTCATTATTTTGATTACATCCATTAACCCATAAACAAAGTCGTGTTATATCTAACGTTTTTTGAAGGGGAGACATACCGCCCTATGCAGACAGATCGCCTAAAATTACATTCGCATGATACGAGACTCGACATTCACCAGGAAACTTGAAATAATTAGTCATCCATGGAGCTAATTAACTTCTACTGCTTAATAAATGGTGAATGACTGTCAAATTAAGTTCGATAAACGTCTTGATATTTCAAGGTAACTCGTTTGAAAAGTGATGGCGATGGTTGAAATTACGATGTAAAGATAACACCGCAACGAAATATTTATAGATTTCTTTGAAAAACTAAGAAATATACATGACATATCAAATTTTACGAAACAGAAAAAACATGTATAAATAGTAAGGCCTGCAGGTCCGATTCCCTCTGATAGCATTACATTGGTCTCTTATGTGCCATACAATTAAAATTTGAAACACAACTATTATTCGAACTTATGATCGGACTTTAGTATGATATAACTTTATTTATTGAAGTACACATCATACTTAAGTCCGATCATAAGTTCGAATAATAGTTGTGTTTCAAATATCAATTGTATGACATACACGAGACCAATGTTAGTGCGACCAGGGAGAATAAGACCTGCAAGCTTTACTATCTACACATATTTTTTCTGAAATATTTCGTTGTGGTTTTATCTTTACATCGTAATTTCAATGCAATCACTTTTCAAACGGTTTACATTGAAATATCAAGGCGTCATGCTATTCTCATACGCGTCCAGTATTCGTCTGGTATAAGCCGAGATACTGGACGTAGACCTCCATATTTGATCCAGAGAGAGGTATGTGTGATTTTACTCGGTAGCCTGTGAGCGTTTTTACAGTATTTCCTTATCTAGAAACTGGCTCATCAGATTCAGTATCTTGAGGAACAAACAATTCTTATAAAATTACAGTCATTCATCTAGAATTTTTGTAATGTGGGGTTAAACACGGAAATTCTTTGATTTTTTCCCAGGAAATTCACGAATCGAGTCAGATTTCTTTTTATTTACCATTTCATTGACAAGATATGCACTTTTCTTGGGTATGGAATAAGAATACAGCTTACAGTCGGCAAATTTTAGCTTTGAAATGATCGAAAATAGAAAAAATGACGAAATTTAAAGAAAAACCGGACGAAATGAAAATGTACTGTATTGTATTGTATTGTATTGTATAACTGGAGGCTGTATCGTTAGTTCATACACAAGAAAATTGCAGAAATGGTAAATAAAAAGAAATATAACTCGAATCGTGTATTTTCTGAAAAATCAAAATATTTCTGTGCTTAACCCCACATTACAGAAAAACTAGATGGAAAACTGTCATTTTAGAAGGACTGGATGTTCCCAATGCACTGGGAATCCGATGAGCCTGTTTTCAGATAAAATTACACCTAACTCTCTCTGGATCAAAAATGGAGGTCTTTGTCCAGTATTTCCAGTTGTACCAGCAGAATAAAATACCGGACGCGTTTCTATTACCTGATACTTATAGAACTCAATGTGACTGCCATTCGCCATTTATTAAGCAATAAAAATTAATTTACTTCATGGGTGGCAAAATGTTTCTAGTTTCCTGGTGAATGTCGAGTCTCGCATCATACGAATGTAATTTTAGGCGATCTGTCCGCATGGGTTGCTTACTCTTTGATTTTGTACATACCCATTTGATTTCACTGTTATTTTAGTTCAGAATTTATTTTAAAGAGTCTATGTGTTTGGTTGGTTAATTCAAGTTCATTACCTGCGTAACAAAATCCAGTCAATTTTCCACGCTCCAATGGCGGTGCCCAATGAGCCCATAAACAATGCATCGATGGCCACACCACTCCCTAGAAAATATAAGAGCTGGAAAGTCACCGGAAAACAATGAGACAGTCGTGTCTATATTTCTATTTCATTTTTATCACACATCCGAGGCCATAAGGCATGTACTACAAAGGCATAATAGGAGCGGAGCCAGAATCTAGAAGTTGGTGAGTCACAAATGCGAGAGATCATTTCGACTTGCTTTTCACGGTTTCTATTGAAAATATATTTGCACTAATATTTTTTTTGTAATTTTTTTCTGAGACAGTTGCCTCACTTGCCTCGTGTCAGGCTACGCCCATGCCCAATGGAAGTTTTATTTTCTCAGTGATAAAATGTTTAATTATCCGATAAAATATAGGCTATGTGATCAAACATTCTTATTTATCAGTCTTTTATCTAACGCTTTGGACAAGTTCACCTCAATTCAAGAATCAGTCAAGGCCAAACGATCAACATGCAGGTATTTAGCTAACATTTTATGGGGACTGCTGTCATGTGGGGGCTATTGTGACCCTTGGTGATCCTATCAAACGGGTAGATTGTAGTCTAATTAAAAACGAGACATTAACGGTATTGTTTTAATTTGTGAGGTATCAATACGATACAATTTTTCATCATAGCTTCAAAATGTTGTCCACATTCATAACAGGGGGTGAAAATCAATTATTTGCCGTGTTCCCTTACATTCTCTCATTTTATAAACCATGAAAAATAGTATAAATGTCAGAGATTCCTTCTCCTGGTAGTTTCGTCCAGTGTGTTACTTTTTCCTTGAAGAAAGGAAGCACGATCGTACTAAACGAAATGCTGGGAGACTGTCAAAGAGCCCAGACCATTGTAATGGGCAATGAATGCTCAAGAACCTCTACACCCACTGTCGTTTTGCTCAAAGCCATATCTTTTAGAGAAAAAAGTATTTTACTCTTTATGATGAAACTAATTGAAAGCATATCATGTATACGACACCGAATACGATTAATCATGATGAAATATTAATGTATGGAATTTCAAATTTTCTCTTGATCTTATAAAATGGTATGGTATACAATGTGAGTGGATTACGCCTGAAATTGGAGAATCGACTCCGTGTTGATTAAATGCACTTATACTAAAACTTTGCCAATTCTGATGTCGCTAGATGGTGCTATGGTGCTTGACCAGATTTATGTGGATCGATATATTGAAGGTTGGTATTTTTAATTTTTAGGGGGAGGGGATGAGAGTTTAATGGTCAAAACAGATGAACATTTATCAGTCCTATGCCTACAGATGTTTATACACTCTCAAACGATCCAGTAGGAGAAGAGGCTGTAAAATGAAGTAGTATAGTTTTGAGTAGGGATACTAGCGGTTATTGGTATATTGTTGGTAATTTGGTTTCCTGTATGAATTTTTTCTCCCTTTCTGGCCCAACAAAGCGCCATCTAATGTTTGATAAATGAATCGAGGTTTATTCCCAATAGGGAAGGTACCAATCTATCAGTATCGTGAAACATTTCCAAGTTTGGTTAGAACTGATAGGATTTTTATGTAGAACAGAAATCTTTTAAAACAGGTAGTTTTTTGGTGATAGCTCTCTCCAGGTTCATTTATCTCAAAATTCATGTGATCACTCACTGGGTACTTTTTCGCCGAGCTAGAGCTTTGCCCCTTATCAAGTTATGATATCGGACGTTATAAAGGTCATGGATGGGATTTTTAACTACAATATTGACATTGAGGAAATGAAACGACCAAACTAATTTTGGTTTAATCTCATAAATCTATAGGAATAGTTGCATGCGTATTGACTCAGTCAATGACACGGTCAAGAGAAAATAGGGCGATCTTTCATTCACATGGTCACTAGTGATCCACTCGATTACGCTGGTTACCGAAACGGTAACACAATGTCGGAACACCGAATGTACGATTTTTCTCTTTTCCTTATTTCTCACGTTGTAGACAGAATTCCCACGACATTTTTATCACAAAAGTATTTGCGAACACATAGTTCACAAGACAACAGAATCGTTGATTTAATTCCTCACTTAACTTACATAAACGGTTTTCGAAAAACAGTTAAGATCTGCAATTTTAACCCATGTCGTTTATGTAACTTAAGTGAGGAATTAAATCGACGATTCTGTTGTCTTCTGAGCTATTTTTTCGCAAACATGTGCATTTTATAAAGCAATCGATACTGATACACGTTTGTGAGAATAGATGTTGGGATTCTACCTACAGAGCGTGAAATAAAGAAAAAAGAAAAATCGTACCTTCGATGTTTCGACATTTTTTTACCGAAACGAACCGTTTCGGTAACCAGCTTAATCGAGCGGATCACCAGTGATAGACACAACAGATTGGCATGTGCGTGACATAACGTGTAAGGGTAACCTTTTCAAGTTAATTTTTAACAAGCGGGGTATGCCTACCTGGCCAAGTCCAATGATAACCCTCAGTACAATGAGGAAGATGTAGCTAGTCCGGGCCGCTATCGGGGAGAGCAGAGTGGCGCACATACAAATAAACATCGCCCAGCCAAGAACTCGCTTACCCCCATATCGCTGAGCTAAAAAACCACCGGGGACATGGGACACCATGTAACCCCAGAAAAATGCTCCTAAAATTAGGCCTTGTATATCTTTCGTCCACACAAACTCTCCCTCGCGCTACAATAAAAAAGCAAGGCTATGTGAAGTAGCGGTCACACTAGCCGTGTAGGCTCACCGTTCGCCACCGTGTGGCTAATTATGGCCAGGCGGCGGTGCACGGTATGGCCACACGGTGGGTCGTTTCCCGCCCGTTGAGAAACGTTCAGGGAACGTTGCCGTCCATCCACACCCGGCGAATTTTTTGAGCATGCTCAAAACTTTTCCCGTTTGAGTAACGTTCGGTTGCGAACGGTGATAGCGGTACGGGAATGGTATAAGGACGGTGCGGCCGTTAAGGACATGTTCGCAGAGCGGTAATGGGACGATGGTGGACGTTGACTCTATCAGTGACGGGCTGCGAACGAGAGTGTACCGCTTGGGTACCGTCCGATAAACGAGGTTCAAACGGGGGTTTGAAAGGTCACATAAAAAGGATTTTCACGGTACCAGCCGCTTAACGCTTAGGTAACAGTCCATTAACGTGTTAACGGCCTTATAACTGCTCCATAACATCCTCTAAACATCCTATTACCGTGAACTCGCAATTGTACCGCCTCGTGACGCAGTGTTGTCACCGTGTTCTGCCGTTTCAACAATTTTGCCTCCAGATTATTTAAATATTCAGGTATTGTCCAAGGTTTTGTCCCGTAAATCGAGACATCAATTCTTCGACTTTCTCATTTGTACTTTGAAGCCACAAATCCACTCAAACCACTTTGACAGAGATTCTTTTGAAGACACTGAGAAAAACAAGTTACAAATATATTTCTTTTATCATACACGAAGAAAAAAAACAAGGCATTAACATGACAAAATGTCACCACCTAGTTAGGTCATTGAAGGTCAAATGTCAAATCTTAAGTCAAATGTTGTCAGATTTGAATTTCTGAGAACACGTAGATGATTTTGAAATTTTTTTTTAGTCAATTTGAAGCAAGTTGAAAAAAGACCTTTTTGACCTTGAGAAGGTCATTGAAGGTCAAAGGTCAAATCTAAAGTCAGATTTGAACTTCTGAGAATATGTAAAGTCAAATTTGAACTTCTGAAAAGATGTAGATGATTTTGAAAAAAAAATTTGGTCAATTTGAAGCAAGCTGAAAACAGACCTTTTTGACCTTTTTGACCTTGAATAGGTCATTAAAGGTCAAATGTCAAATCTAAAGTCAGATTTGAATTTCTGAGAACATGTAGATGATTTTGAAAAAAAAATTAGTCAATTTGAAGCAAGTTGAAAAAAGACCTTTTTGACCTTTTTTGACCTTGAGAAGGTCATTGAAGGTCAAATGTCAAATCTAAAGTCAAATCTAAAGTCAGATTTGAATTTCTGAGAACATGTAGATGATTTTGAAAAAAAAATTTAGTCAATTTGAAGCAAGTTGAAAAAAGACCTTTTTGACCTTTTTTGACTTTGAGAAGGTCATTGAAGGTCAAATGTCAAATCTTAAGTCAAATCTAAAGTCAGATTTGAATTTCTGAGAACACGTAGATGATTTTGAAAAAATTTTTTAGTCAATTTGAAGCAAGTTGAAAACAGACCTTTTTGACCTTTTTTGACCTTGAGAAGGTCATTGAAGGTCAAATGTCAAATCTTAAGTCAAATCTTAAGTCAGATTTGAATTTCTGAGAACATGTAGATGATTTTGAAAAAAAAATTTAAGTCAATTTGAAGCAAGTTGAAAACAGACCTTTTTGACCTTTTTTGACCTTGAGAAGGTCATTGAAGGTCAAATGTCAAATCTAAAGTCAGATTTGAAGGTCAAATGTCAAATCTAAAGTCAGATTTGAATTTCTGAGAACATGTAGATGATTTTGAAAAAAAATTTAGTCAATGTGAAGCAAGTTGAAAAAAGACCTTTTTGACCTTGAGAAGGTCATTGAAGGTCAAATGTCAAATCTAAAATCAGATTTGAACTTCTGAGAACATGTAGATGATTTAGAAAAAAATTGAAGTCAGTCTAAACAGTATTTGTTAAGTTATAGGAAGTTGTAAGAAATTGTTACAGACGCCGGACGCCGGACGCCAACCTCCAACCACCAACCACCAACCGCCGTCGCAAAAAACGGAGACCATAACAATATGTCACCACTTTTGGTGGTGACATAATAAATTGCAAAAATGATTAAAGCTCAAATAAAAGTGAAAATAAATGTCCAGTTAGCATTATAAGCCAAACTTCGAACTATCAACTGTTTTATGCAGTTTACGTGATCTTTCTGTTCACGTTACCGTCCATCAAAAAGTTGTGAAAGCTTTATTTCTCATTTACACGACCAATTATATAAGAAAAAATTAATAGGGTGGCCGATTTCTGTCAGAAAATTCAATAAAACTGCAATATTCATGTTCATGACAACTTAACGTTCACCCATTAATCCCTTAATGATTAAGCTACGGTATAACAAAGATGTGAAGTCTTCCGTGAATTTTCGAGTGATACCCTTCTGAGTTATTTGATTAATTTAAAAAGGCGCGACGTCACCAGCGTGCAAAAAGTCAATATTTTTTGGTATATAACTCAAACGACGCAGGTCTAAGACCTGTAATATATACGTTGACGCAATTATCACAAAATATATGTAGTTGCCGTTTTACAAAACGTTATAAAAATAATATAAAACACCGCCGTCTTTTTTCGAAATCAAATAAGATTTGGCATATTTTTATTAGTGATTCAATAAACTGACTTCAATTCCAATTCGAGTACAGTTCACTTCGAATCCCTCCATTTTAATGAGGAAAAATATTTCTAAACGTTGGAGGGGAGTAAAGGTTCAATCTGTACCTTCCAATAACCACCCTATGCTTAGTGAGCGGACCTAATTTCAAGGGCGATGGTAAAGACGAGACAGGGCGCCCAAACCTAACTATGGCGGACCAGCAGTAAGTTTATTTCTCTAAGTTCTACTCTTTATTGGCCTTGTGCTGGCCTGTAACTAGGTGCACCGATGCTTCAGATGCCCATAATTAGATTTGTAATGTAAGAAAGATTCATACTTATATGTGAAATGGATACGAAGTGATGTGAAAAGAAAAATTAATTTTCTGCATATTTTTTTTCGATTATTTTCAAAATAATGATACTTCTCCTGCATAGAATTCCTTGATATTGCATGTAATTATTGTTGATGAACGTATTTATATCGTAAACCCATCCATTTCCCAATTTGAGCCGTAATTGCAGTCAAATCAGGAGCTTTTGATTCCTCGAAAGGAAGAGCAATGGTTATGGTAATAAAAGCATGTTTGGACGAGCCGTGGAATAGGGATTACATTTATCCTGTTTATTTTCAGATATGTGGGATTCCAGTGTTACTACTGTCACGGAAAATCAAAAGACTTTGATGAAATAATACACCACCTGATCAATAAACAATTTACACAATGTGTTAACAGTGATTATGTTGTCTCAGAAAAAATTAATCTGACAAAAGTTTATCCCACAGTGCAGAAACTTGTGACTACATCTGTCATGTTAACAACCTCTGACTACATCTGCCATGGTAACAACCTCTCACTACATCTGTCATGGTAACAACCTCTGACTACATCTGTTATGTTAACAACCTCTATCTACATCTGCCATGTTAAAAACCTCTGACTACATCTGCCATGTTAACAACCTCTCACTACATCTGTCATGATAACAGCCTCTCACTACATCTGTCATGGTAACAACCTCTGACTACATCTGTTATGTTAACAACCTCTAACTACATCTGCCATGTTAAAAACCTCTCACTACATCTGTCATGGTAACAACCTCTCACTACATCTGTCATGGTTACAACCTCTGACTACATCTGCAGTGTTAACAACCTCTGATTACATCTGCCATGTTAACAACCTCTCACTTCATCTGTCATATTAACAACCTCTGACTTCATCTGTCATGTTAACAATCTCTGACTACATCTGTCATATTAACAACCTCTGACTACATCTGTCATGTTAACAATCTCTGACTACATCTGTCATATTAACAACCTCTGACTACATCTGTCATGTTAACAATCTCTGACTCTATCTGCCATGTTAACAGCCTCTGACTACACTTGTCATGTAAATAAAGTCTGACTTCATTTATTATGTTAACAATTTCTGAATACACCTGCCATGTTAACAACCTTTGACATCAACAATCTCTGACTACATCTGTCATGCGTCTGGTTTTTTATGACTTTGTCAACATTTGTTAAAAAGTGTGGGCCAGTTACCATTTATACAATTTTAAGTTTTTCTTTTAAGTTATTCTATTTATTCGTTCAACAACCAACACTTTTTGATAAATCATAAAATCAAGTGACTACATGTTTTGCAAGTTTTTACCATTGATTGAAGCCTATGACAACCTTGCCCAAATTCATTAATTTATTAATCGACAGTGTACATTTTAGCTGAATTTAGCAGTACACGTAGCAGCTAAGTGCTTGCCCATAGCCACTCCTCTTCGCAAATTACATCGCCATTGCTCGTCATCAAAATTCTGATCGCCGAATAGTAAACATTCATTTTGTACTGGATGTACATAACTAGAGACCGCCTTATTTCGCATATATGAAAAAATAAAACATATCTAGGTACATGTATCTTTATATGTGACATTGATCAGGAATTATTGACATATTGACAATATTAGGTTGTAATTTCTTGCGGTAAATTCAAATTGTATCTTTAAACGACTGTTTCATCTTAACTATTCGTTTTATTGGATGTAAAACAAGCGGTATGCATAGTTTAACATCTTTCACTTCTAAAACAGCATAAAATATCACAATACCATCACCTAATGCTGCAATAATACGACTTAAAATGTTATGGTACTGATATTCTTTGGTTTTTGGGCGCCATGCCTCGTCTTTACCATCACCCTTGAAATTAGGCCCGCTCACTAAGCATAGGGTGAATAACGCTTTGCGTAAAATGTAATGTCAAAACAAATAGTTACCCCTCAGAGCAATTAGTTTCAAAACGTATAGTAAAAACGTAAAACGTGATATGGTCGGATGAAATATAGATATTGCATGTTTGTCTACCAAAATTGGTCAAGTTCTCGAGACCTATTCATTTTCAACGTATTTTCATGGAATAAACATACTAACTATTACAAGGAAAGACTTAACTCGGTTGACCCAACTAGCTGCTTACAGGATGGACAAGCTATGTGGCCACACTGTACAGTTAAATATAGACAAACTTGTAATGTTATTGAACATAATTAAGATGTATAAGCAAATTAATTATATAAATCATTTAGCTTTGAACACGTGGATGGTCGAGCATACATACCAAAAAGTGAGTTAAATATTGTGAGCGTTTGCATGACGCCATCAAGGCGGTTCGGCCGATATCCAGGCGTTCCGGCCGGTGAAAACCTGGTGAGAGGATGGTATGCGCCAGTTGAGAACACGGCGAGAACGGTAAGCAAGAATTCTGAAACACGGTAAGTCCGGTACAAGGCCGATGAGAAGCCGGTACAGACCCGGAATAGAACGGTATAGTCCCGGTCAAAAATGTATAAAAACAATGCGGCCGTCGCCGTCTGGCCATAATTAGCCAAACGGTGGCGAACGGTGAGCCTACACGGCTAGTGTGACCGCTACTTAAAATACGTTATATCCTATGCATGTGTTTAGATGTTATCGCAATCTACAGGGTAGACCAAATAGACTGATCCAAAAATACATGTAATGTTTGTTATTTAGAAGTACTGCAATATATATTTAAAGTATGAATGCCTATTTAATGATCCAGATGTTGAATCAACTATTAGTAGTCCGATTGCGTATGACTCTGCCATCTACACAATTGCGTAGATGGAGAAGCGCTTAGTTACTTACATCAGACGACGATTTTTGTGTCAATTCCCCTGGACATGGAATCCTATCTCCAAATGTACCGTTATCAAAGACACTTCCATTCCCTGCTACAGTATAGTTCGCGATACTATACTCGTTGCTCGAGTTGGATAACATGGACTTAATTCGGCCATTTTCGATATCCTGCTGGCGCAGTTCAGCTACTGCTGTGTGGTTCACCATGGCAACCATGGCAACACTAATCTCCACACGGAGAGCGTAAAGGTTGATGAACCCGAAGAATCCAACAAACGACATGAGCAGACGGCATGATGACCACCAAGGAACTGAAATAATTAAATATCAGTACAAATGATGACAGCATGGATATGCAAATTAGACACGTGGTTCCAAATTCAAGTTCGGCATTGGCTGAAAAAGTAACCTCGTGAAATACACAAGCACACCATATGACGTCCATTGGTGGACTGAACTCGAAAAATCTATTTAATGTCTCATGTTTTATCAAAACGTCATCGCCACGAACAATATCTAAAAGGTAATTTGACACAATGAGTCTAGGTTTATGTTACGTAAACTTCATTTGTTAAGTAAATCTTAATTAGCCAACAGTAGATTTTAGCATTACAAATCTTTTTACCTTATTTTAGAATTCTGGAAATAATTTATTCCCCCTTTATCACGCCCGGTGATCGTGAATATGGGACGGAGGGGGGGAGCAGGCAATTTCTGCTAGGAAATTCAACAAATCTGGAAGATTTATTTTTTCAAGAAAAAGTTTACCATTGAATTGCTAAATGGATAGGCGCACGGTATGGTAGAATATGTTAGGTTTTCTGGGATTTTTTTCTGAAACGATACGCATCTAAGGTATGAGATCTATTAAAAAAGGCGCAAGGCCATCAACAGGCACAAATCAACGTTTTTGCTATAAATCAAGCAACAATGGACTACACGACCTGTAATAAATACTTGTAGGTGATGTTATCATAACTAAATTAATATCATTGCTGAATTTATAAAATAAGTTTCCATACGTAAAATAAAAAATAATCGAAAATAATTAAAATGGGACGGAGGGGGGGGGAGGGGACGGAGGGGGGGGGGGAGTAATAGTTCTATAAAGTGAAACAACTTCACACGAATTCTTGTATTTGAAAAATGAACTCATTAACTTAGTAAGAAACTGGATGATATACCCCTGGAGACTGAAAAATGGGGACATTTGGAGTAAAAGGACTTAAAGTCGCGAAACATCTCTAATCATGTCTTATATACATATTGCTCCCCCCCTCCGTCCCCTCCCCCCCTCCGTCCCAAATTCATTATTTTCGATTATTTTTTATTTCACGTATGGAAACTTATTTTATAAATTCAGCAATGACATTAATTTAGTTATGATAACATCACTTACAAGTATTTATTACAGGTCGTCCAGACCATTGTTGTTTGATTTATAGCAAAAACGTTGATTTGTGCCGGTTGATGGCCTTGCGCCTTTTTTAATAGATCTCATACCTTGGATGCGTATCGTTTCAGAAAAAATCCCAGAAAACCTAACATATTCTACCATACCGTGCGCCTATCCATTTAGTAATTCAATAGTAAACTTTTTCTTGAAAAAATAAATCTTCCAGATTTGTTGAATTTCCTAGCAGAAATTGCCTGCTCCCCCTCCGTCCCATATTCACGATCACCGGGCGTGTTGATATCGCGTTGATCCAAAACTTAACTATTATTTGAAAATATGATTTCTGACTTATACATATAATAAATGCTTTCCTTCGCACGTTAAAACTATAATGGAGAAAATGTGACTCAAACTGATTATATCATGAATATAAACAACCAACCTACAAAAAATAAAAGAATCATTGCTAATAAATCTCTGATGTGGGACCAAAACAAGCATCTACAATAACTTCAACTGGATCACCACTTGAGCATATAACAAGAAACCCATTTTCTTTATTTTTGGAACCTATAATTGAAGATGAAATCTTAACACTCATAAAAAGACTCAATAATAAAGCTCTAGGATTTGTGATATAAAACTAATAGTTATTATTAGACATGCAAGGTACAACCTTGTGACACCATTTACTCATATAGCAAACAGCAAACATTTCCTTACAAACAGGTGTACTTCCAGAAAAGATGAAAATAACCAAATTAATAGCACTTTTCAAAAAGGGTGATGAATCAAAATTTGAAAATTATAGACCTATTTCCTTATTAGTGTATTTTCCAAACTTCTCGAAAAAGAAATGCACTTAAGGATTTCTAAATTTATCAAAAATAATAAGTTAATGAATGAAAAACAATTTGGATTCAAAGAACACAACTCAACATACATGGCTCCCCTAACGTTTCTGGAACAAATTCGGTTCTCAATGGATAATAATAAGCATATTCTAGGATTGTTTTTGGACCTCTTAAAAGCTTTTGATACGATTAAACATACAATATTATTAAATAAACTTGAACTGTTAGGTTTTCGTGGAGTAGTGTTGAATTGGTCGAAAAGTTACTTAAAAGATCGACCATTAAAAACTTTCATATCAGACTCATACTGATTTACAAAATGATTTACATTGCAGTATCCCTCAAGGGTCTGTTTTAGGACCAGTCCTTTTCACCTTGTATATTAATAATATATTTAATGTTTCCAATATGATAAAATTAATCTTTTTTTGCAGATGACACAACTATTTCTCTGGAAGATGACAACTTAGAAATCTTTACTTAGGGCAAATACTGAAATAAAAAGTATAATCAATTGGTTGAAAAATTACAAGCTTTCACTCAATATAGAGAAAACTAAATATATGCTATTTATTAAATCAAGACTTTATAATATAAATAGCCATCACTACAAGGTATATATTGGTGATAACCAGTTTTAAAGAGTTAACTATATAAACTTTCTTGGTGTAATCATCGATGCAATTTGAAATGGAATGGGCATACTGAATATATTGTTTCAAAAATCGTAGGTATTCTTTTCAAAGTAAGAAATAAACTATCAAGACATGCATTGGTAGACATTTACTATTCTTGTTTGTTCACATATTTCATATTGCAACATCATATGGGGTAATGCCAACAAATCAGTTTCTGTATTGCATCTAGACAATCTAGATAATGTATGTGTTATATTATATGTTTTTTGGTTGCTCTGCAATAATTCTTGATATAAGCACTGATACGCCCAAATACTAAGGGTGTCGAGTGCACATGCTTTGTACATTCCATTGTTATAATAAGTGTCAAATAAGTCTGTTCTCCCCCCTTAAATTTTTAATCTTTAAATTAATCACACTTTCCCATATATCATTTTAAAGCTTATGGAAAATGCTTATCACCCTCAAAAAAACCAATCATAAACTCCTCCTAATAAAATTGCTACAATGTTTCTTGTAAGGTTGTAGTTGACCTTTGATTACGTCAAAACAAGTAAAATTACCAGGTATAGTGAACGAAAAGTGAAAAGTTGATACTGCAGTGACAATGCCAACATTGGGTGATTTCGATGTTTTTCAATATCGTTACAGAGTAAAATGTGTTACATTCAGGGGAGTTTTTGAAGCAGGGGCATCTTTCATCCCAAAATAGTTGATAACAGCCAAAATCAAATGCTCTGAATGATTTATACAGGATCATATCCTCGTAGAATTGAGGCAATCCGGGCTGCTTGGAGAGACATACAGACTATTAAAAAAGTGAAATATAGACATCACTAAAAATACTCTAAAAATTTAGAAATTTAACCAATTACTCTGAAATTTTGTGTGTGATCAGCAAATTAAATTCCCTTTAAGATGATATATACCAACCCTATATTATTCCTGAATTTAAAAAGTTAGGGGGAGAACAGACTTATTTGACACCCTGTATTATAATGAAATAAATAAAAAACTATATAGAAACACAAGAATTAGGGAGTGACTTGCATTTATTAAATATATAGGCAAACAACGACCTACAGGGAGTTGTGCACTTTTACGGAACAAAAATTGTTTTATAAAATTACATGTCATCAAATATACCCAGTCATGCTGATGACACAAGGGCAACAGAGGATGACTGATAAAATATTTAAAACAAGAAGTCATATATATCGAACTTGAAAGAACAAATCTAATCGAAAACAACGAAAATTTGACATTAAATGCATTTCTAAACAGCTTTCTGAGACTCAAAATAACATAAAAGTCTCGCCTGAAGTGAACCTGATCACAAATTCGAGACAGGTTACTTTTAAAATTTCAAGATCGGCGCGAAATACTTGATAAGTTACTGATTTGACAAAAGAGAATTGGCTCCCAGAGTGCAACATCGATATTCTGTCCCATATGTGGACATGTTGTGATACAAAATTCGAATTCAAACAGCCGCCATTTTGTTCACTTCAACGTTTGAATTGTGAATTTTGGTCTTATTTGCAAACGAAAAAATCCAAAACTCACAAGAAATGATCGAGATATTGGTTCGAATCGGTTTTGAATTATTTATTTTGAATTTACAGTCGGTTATAATTTCAAAAAATAACGACGTTTCGACGTTTTCATTGTTGGAAAATATCGAGTTTCGATCCTGGGAGCCAATCCTTCTTGGATTTTGACCATATCAAACATGGATGCAAACTTATATAAATGAATCCGATAAGTTGTTGTCATGACAAGAAGATGTTCAAAAGATTCAAAATGGCCGCTTTGCAATTTACCCAGGATGTATTCGTAGATATTTTAAGTTTATGGGATCATGGACTTCAAAGAGCTTGAAAGCCCATGATTTGATGAACTATCCCGATGACAAGTTTTTATCACCAACCAGTCGCCCACTCGACAACACGATGCCAGTTGCAAGATGATTACAAAATTGCACTTTTCAAGTGATATAGAGACGAACATGAGGTGCGGTGAAAAACGTGCAAAACGTAAGAATCTACAAGAATACACGGCGACAAGTATTTTTAATATTGGGGACAGTTATGCTTTCTTTCCAATGTCTAGAAAGCTTCCTCCAATAAGGCAATAATACGATCATGAGATGACAGAGTTCATCACAAGCCCATGGGCTTTTGGAATGAATGCTCAGAGAAAATAATATTATTGTCATATATAATAGTTTTCTATCAGTAATTCATAATAAGCATACGGACATAAGCACAACTATTTATAAATAAAAAATGATCTCACCAAGTGATTCATCGATAGGTCCTACGAGGCATGAAGAATGACATAAAAAATGTAAATCACATCAATAGAATAAAATTACATAAAAGTGAATCAACTATTGCAAAATAAACGAGGGATAGAAAGCA